GTCAATCAACATGGCATTTGTTAGTGTCAATCAACATGGCATTTGTTAGTGTCAATCAACATGGCATTTGTTAGTGTCAATCAACATGGCATTCATTATTGTCAACCAATGTGGCATTCATTACTATGGATCTCACCGAACTGTGGTGAAACGCCAAAAATTTGTCTTGCTACCACACCTAATTCGTCTACTGCCACACCTACTTTTGTCACATGTATTACAGTGAATACCTTACTGGAAATGTGCTAGATCCGAGACAGTTACAAAAGTAGGCGTGTCAGTGGACAAATAAGGGTGTGGTAGCGAGACAAATTTTTGCTGTGTTGCAACAGGTCGGTGACATCCATAGTATTGTCATTTAACTTGGCAGTAACATGCTTACCTCGTTACCAACAATAGAGCTGATTACTTTCATCAGTCGTGTATAAAGACCATGAATGACATATGTCTGAGGGGGGTAAAAATTTAAATATTAGATCAGTAAAATTGYTAACATAAATGATTGCAGTTGACATTTGAACCATCCCATCCTGTAAGAAAGAAACTTGTATAGAGCTTTTGACAACAATCAATAGAAAAATGACTTCCAGGTAAATAGTTTGCCAAACTTCTAATTGCCCTATTTCACTATGATGTCACATCAAAACAATCTATTGTTTAAACGCAAAGGATCATGGTTGTCGGAGGGGGTCAAATCAACGCAAATTCACCGAAAATTGTTCTAAAACCCATATCAATCCACGAAGAGAAGTAAAATAGCCAGCAAACACTTAGAATATTTGTTAGTACATATTAACACATATTATATCTAAAAACCAGGCCATTTTAGATTAAACTGTTTTGCTAGGAGCAAATTTTTGTTGAATTTTCTATTGGATTTGGCAATTCTATCCCCCACATAAACAAGCACTGACGTCATAGTGAAATACTGTAAGGCAATTGTTTCAGGTGGAGGTTAAATAATTGAGAATGTTTTTCGCTTTTTATTGGTTTTTATTAGTAGTTGGACCAGGAAATATGTCACAACTGAATACTCCTTTTAACAGTTCCATTCAGTGACCATGAATAATAGTTCCTAGCCTAGGCTGGAGTTTCAGAGCATAGCAAAACTACAGTTTATCATGCGCGGAACCTCCAGCCTCGGCTAGGAACTATTATTCATGGTCACTGAATGGAACTGTAAAAAGGAGTATTTAAGCTCTATATTACAGTGCAAATTGAAAAACTGTGGGCACCTAGAAATATTCCAGGAATGTTCTATTCTTCTTTGGCCAATTATAACTGACTTGAAACCACAAAATAACGGAAAGATAACAAAAACGCTTCTGATTGGCTATTGAACATTCTTGAAATATTTCTAGGTGCCCACAGTTTTTCGATTTGCCCTGTAAAACGGAACTTTATACCAATGCAGATTGGCTGTTTTCTGGAATACATTTTACTCACCTCAATAGCTAACTTTACATTATCTAGATACACTTTATCATTTTGAGTTAATCTTCTCTGAAAAACAGAAATTATGTTTTGTTATTGAATTGTTAGCAAATACATTGCAATGCTCTCAAAGCTTGGAAAGCATGCTGGGAAACCAAGTACTGCAAAAATGGAACAGGGAAATCAAATTAACAGTCAGAAAACAATCACTCTGTTATTTTCCTCTGTTGAAATACTTATGTTTCCATTGAAAATGTTGAGGGGAAAATTGTCTGATGAATTTTTAGAGGAGCCGGAAAAAAATTACTCAGTTTCGCAACATTCTTTGTGCTAGAGAAATCTTTTGAGAGAACATTTTATGAGAAAGATTATTTTCGAAATGGTGGTTAAACACTGACTACCTTGTGTTATCAGCGAGAAAGAATTCTACTGAAAAACATACGATTCATCTGAGCAGATAATAAATAAAGAAACCTGACAATACTGTATTTTTTTCCTGATATAAGCATGTACTGTGTCAATGAATATTGAGTGTTTACCAGTTGTGAATTCTTTAGTGCTCCCTGCATAGCTCTTGTATAGATTGCATTAGCTGCATCCTATGTAATGATCAATAACAAAAACAATTTACAATCATCTTTAGGTGATATTTTGTTCAATCTCAATATTGAAACAGCTATGTTGTTGGGATTATCATGAACCATCACCCCCCATATGGGGCTTTTCTGTGGTGTTCACGCTTCACAACTACCACTACATTCTAAATTTACCAACATACAACATTCAACTCACATGCTGATTTTTATGGAAGAAGGAAAACTGGAGAACCTGGAGACAAACCCTTGTGGCATTTTTTTCAGAGAACAACAGATCAAACAAACTCAACTCACATATGATCCAGCCCGGGCTCAAACTCAGACCACAGCACTTGGTAAAAGGAGAGAGGTAAAGCACCATGCCATCCATGTAATTTCTTTTAGAAATACTGTAGAATCTAATAATATTTTCATACTCCAAGTGGGAAGGCAAATGCTACCTCTCGCCAGTATCAAACCAGCTATTTCATTTTTTTATCAATTGCTACCCCCAAAACAATGCCTGGGCTACCTGGTTGACTAACTCACAGATTGAATTACAGTAATTGAAATTAAGGGAGGGATCTACTGTAACAAGTTCTACTCAAATGTGATGCCAAGTCCAGGTTTAATGATGCTACGCCATCCTAAATTGCCATCATTATTTTAGTGTGCCAATATCTAGCATTAAATTAAATACATACTATAAGATGTCTAAGTGATTTCCCTTCTAACTGTTGATAGGTCGAATTGAACAGTTTTATAATCTCATCTACTTGTTTCTGGCCTTGCTTGCTTCCTGGAAATTAAATGAAATGAAATAAAATAAAATAAAAAAATTAAATTAAATTAAATAAAAAAATGAAATGAAATGAAATGAAATAAAATAAAAGAATGAAAGAGCAGGAAAATAATATTTTGTAACATTGAACTCATACAATATCCACACCTCTCTCAGAAAAGGATTTATTTTAGAACCCAAAGCTTTCAATAAAAGGCGGCTACCGGCGGTTCATCACCAGACACTTCACCTTAAACTGCAGGCTATTTTGACAAAAAATTAATTCAATGCCAAATAAATTCATATACAAACACCAATGGCTTCAGCCCCCTACTTTTTAGGACTAACTGCCTACTACAAACATTATTGACAGCTTTGAGCACCCCTTCCCATTCCCTAAGGCCTTGCTACCCCAAGCAAGTTTTCCATTGAAGCAATGGACCCTTTTCAAAATTATCTTGACTGTGAGGAGAACATGAAAATGCAAAAGAAATGCTTCAAGTTCTATTAATAAAAAGTATGACTTCTTTTGCATCTTTATGTTAGAGTCACATTCGACATAATTTTGAGAAGGACATAGTCTCGACAAGGAATAAAATAGACCTCTTTAGTTACATTGTTTGTTGTGCACATTTCAGACCATGTGATGCCACTCTTAGAAGTTGATTCTCTTATGTGTAAATATTTTAATACATTCGTCATAAAAGAACAATTCTCAAGGGAATGTCAAATGCAATCTAATATGGGCAATTTGCAATATGAAAAGTCGTATTATTACTACAAAAAAATTGAACATACTGTATGTGCTAATGATACAACTTCTCCTAGTTTTAATTCTAGTCAATGTTTTTATTTGCCTGGATAATTATATACGCAGGAGATCAGGAAGTCTAGACTGAGTATTGTGTGTTTTAAATAGTGAATATAGTGGTAGTGTGTGTGGATCAGCCAGTGCATTAATAGCACAGCGCGCTGATTCTAAAAATAGCTTAAAGATTCAGACAAACATTGCATTTTGTTTAACCGCTACGAGGATCATACGAACCGATTTTATTATTTTTACTTAAAGTTACAATAATAACCCATGTAAACTAAGATCAACTGCAATCGGCTGTGAAAATTATCTGCTGAAAGTAAACTTGTAAGTCTGTTTGTCCGAATTTCGCCTTTGTCTTCGTTTTTATGACGTCATGGATGCGCTGTGCTATTGATGTACACAGAAACCAAAAACTAACTAACCTGTAGAAGGCCATAGAAAATCAATACAGCCTTGAAGATTATCTAATGCTTGTACAACAGGTTCTGCACAAACTCCTGGAAAATAAAGAGATCTTGTGAGTAAGGGTTTAGAAAGACATTAAAAATGTAAATAAAAAATACTGGATCAGTGATTATTAAAAAGTGCAGCTTGTTGCTTTTCCTTATCAAAAGAGAAAATGAGAGAAAGAGGGAGAAAGCATTGCATTTAAATATTTTTTTTGATGGACCATCCCACCCTGCCAAGTTCCAATTTGGCATGAGTTTTCCATGCAATGACCTTGATCAGCCTAGAGTCTTTTTCAGGTACTGATAAAATTGGAAGGTGGAATATAATGCGTAGAACTCGTATAAATGTAAAGCGCATGTAAATCACATTGAGACAACTGTGAAATGCGCTATAAGAACCACCCATCATCACAATAAATTATTGGGAACAGCTGACTTACAAAAAATTAAGCATCAATAAAAACTCAAAATAAATAGATGTGCACATTACCAATTTCTCCTTCCAATGGCTGATCCAGGCAGAGAACCTGGAAGCTTTCATTATTATTGTTGAAAAAGGTTTCCTCAAACAAGATCCTGACCTGAAAACCAAGGGAAAAACAAAAATAATTTACAATTTACAGGACACAATTTTCATTGATGGTATTGGTTGTTGTGCCATTAAATACCCATCCCCCCTCAGACTAGTTAACATTCGTCTCCTTATGCATGTTATATTAAACAAAGAAATGATACTTAAGGGAATTTATACATGTGATCTAAAATGGGAAAACATTTTGCCCATGCTAAAAGTCCTACTTTCAAAATGTTTTGGAGCAGGTGGTTATAAGACTGAAGTAGCTGGCTGGGATATGATACAAAGGAACATACTGTATGCAGCCTGTAAAGTCCTCCACTAATCATAAATGTAAAGCACATTGAGATATTTGAAATGCGCTATATAAGAAACTCCCATTACTATTATCATCATCATTATTATTATTATTATTATATTGGAGTTGACAAAAAACAACAACACTATATAATCAAAAAATAATAAATCTTGCCATTAGAGCCATGTATCATATATTTTGTTGTAAAAATAAGATTTGGGAAAGCCAAGACTTAATGAAATTAAAATTCTTTTTTAAATATATATATCTATATCATTTATATATCAATCAATTTCAAGTAGCCAGTTGTCAATTGCCTATACGTAGAGAGATTTACAACTGTATTCAATTTCAAGTAGCCAGTTGTTAATTGCCTATACGTAGAGAGATTTACAACTGTATTCAAGAAAAAGAATAAAGTTTCCATTATTAAGGAACATAAGGTCACTGGTTTATTCTAAGATGCCTATAATTTGACAGCATATATACACACAACATTATTCCATCACACAGTTACAAGAATTTTGTTCCACTGCAATATTATATACTTACAGATTTAACATCTTCAAAGCCTTCAGTTGTCACAATGAATCCTTCATTTACCTTTACAGTCTATAAAAATATTTTAAAATAATAAATACATAATTGAAAATTTATAATTGATTTTTTAGAATAAACACATGCCCTCAGGTTGGAGCGTATAAAAGAAAATATACAAGTGACAAACAGGAGTAAATCAATAGTGTGTCGCATATTATTATATATTATTGTAATATAAATATAAATATCATGTCACATGTCACCCTCTCTAAATAAAATTGACTATTATGACTGCAGAAATATTTWAAAAAAATCAATATATCAATAATATATCAGATTCCACTGGATCCCAATTGGGTTTTAGACATTGATTTTTGCGGAGGAAGGAAAACCTGAGAATGTGGAGAAAACCCTTGAAGCACAGGAGAGAACCAACAAGCAACTCACTCACATACGACAAAATGCCCTGGCGGGACCTGAACCAGAAATTTGAAAAAAGGGGAGGGGCTGGTCAGGAAGCTTGAACATGACACTATCCCTTCACTCTGCAAATCTGCAAATAATCACTGACCAGCCTATTCACCCAAGGGTATTATAAATTAAACAATAAATGTTAAATTATCTAGTTGCCTGCGTATTAAGCGTATGTGTCATATGTTTACCTTTCCATTGAGAGTTTTGAAGTCAGTTAAGTTCGAGCCTTTGTCTAAAGGATGTGGGTACAGTATATGGTTCTCCACATCGTTGACAGTGTGATTGGAGCGAGATAGGGTGCCTTTTCGTGGTACACAAATCTTAATTCAGAAAAATTCAGAACAAATGTTACTGAACTGCATATTATACGGAATTTAGTTGGTATGTGGAAGGAATGTCATCTGGTCATTTTGTTTGATTTACTTCACATTTAAATTTCAAATGTCTAAAGCAAAGCAAATATCTGCTTTAAGCAGCAGCAAAATTATCTAAGAATCTTACTAGCAGGACAGAAATATTTGTTACGCTTTGGTGAAAAAACAATTAATTCGGCTTGGATTTTTGAGCCTAAGCAAGAATAAGCCACAACAAAGGTAATTTAAAGATTCGACTGAACAGATATATTTAAGTTTAATTTATCCAGACATACTTACAATCCATCGATTATCAGCTACTTCATCGTACAAGGGCTTATTCTTGGTCTTTATGTATTTGAAGAAAGGATTTTCGTTCAAGTCTTCGTCGTATCCGTCAAACTTTAGGTTCACATCTTCCTCCATTTTTTGGCAAAAACAAAATTCTCGTGATCACGACGCATGACCGAAAACCGCTGACTCAGCCCCTCTACTGTAGTGCAGTCACATAATAAATTATTTTAATTTTTTTCTTTTTATTTCTTCTTTTTGCATTTGAAATCTCCTTTGTTTTTGATTTCTTTATTTAGAGAAAGAGTATCTATTGAGTAAATTAAGAAAGGATTAATTTGGTCACTTTTTAAAATATAAGTATTAAATTTGATAGATTTAAATTCAAATTATGTTGCAGTAGAACAAATGTTTTTAAATAATTTTGTCTATTTTGATTAAAAAATTATGAGTTCAAATAATTTAAACAAATAATTTAATATCATCATAGTATTGAGTAGTGGATTTCCTGTGGTGGGAATTATTAATTATAAGGCATTGTGGGTAATTAATTCAATATGGCGGCGCCCAAGAAGAAGGAAAAAATTACCAAAAACTTGCTCTGACAGACGAGAAAGTTTCCTAAATGTTTTATCCAAGGAACTTTGCCCTCAGAAGATGGTTGCAGGGAAATAAGAGATTTGTTTCTAAAGAGAGCAGTGACGTATGCAGACAGGCTTTGCTCTTTCCTGGGCAGGGATCCCAGTTTGTAGGAATGTGTGGGCGATTTATCAAAGAAACTTGGCTCCAAACGCTTTTTAGCAGAGCACACAAGATCATCGGTTTTGACCTGTTAAAACTATGTCTTGAAGGACCAATAGAAGAGTTACAGAAGACAGAAAACTGTCAGCTGGCTGTTGTAATGGCGTCTCTTGCTGGGCTAGAGTCGTACCGTTACCATGGTGACTCGGTGAGGAAGTGTTGAGGAGCCAAGGTTAACATTTATAGTACTTGTAATGTTATACTATAATCTAAAAGTATAGTCTGTACTCAAGTTTGTAGTCTAAAATAGGATACTGGATTAAGCCATCTTAACCATGGCATAACCCATCTATAGTACTGTAGGGAAAATGGCAGAGGGGGGTCGGGAGGGGGTGGGGAGGGATTTGAATTTGAAGTCTGTGCCAAATAAAGTACCTTCAAACACCAAATATTAATTCAGGGCCTAAAGAACCCCCCC